TCCCACGAAGAGCCAACTCGCTCGGTCCTACGAACCCACAGCGAGATAACTCCTACTAGGAGACCACTCGCTCCATCCTATGACCCGTAGCGAGATTACTCCCACGAGGAGCCAAGTCGCTAGGTACTACAACCTACAGCGAGATAACTCCCACGAGGAGACAACTCGCTCGGTACTACAACCGGCAACAAGACAACTCCCACGAGGAGATAACTTGCTCAGTCATATAACCCGTTGCGAGGCAACTCCCACGAGGAGTCAACTCCCTCGGATCCACGAACCCATAGCGAGATAACTCCTACGAGGATACCACTCGCTCCATCCTACGACCCGCAGCGAGGAAACTCCCACGAGGAGCCAACTCGCTCGGTCCTACGAACCCACAGCGAGATAACTCCTACGAGGATACCACTCGCTCCATGCTACGACCCGCAGCGAGGAAACTCCCACGAAGAGCCAACTCGCTCGGTCCTACGAACCCACAGCGAGATAACTCCTACTAGGAGACCACTCGCTCCATCCTATGACCCGTAGCGAGATTACTCCCACGAGGAGCCAAGTCGCTAGGTACTACAACCTACAGCGAGATAACTCCCACGAGGAGACAACTCGCTCGGTACCCCAACCCGCAGCGGGACAACTCCCACGAGGAGCCAACTCGCTCGATATTACAAATCCGTTGCAAGGCAACTCCCACGTGCAACCACCTCGCTCGATAATAAGACTCGCTGCGAAACAACTCCCACGAGGAGACAACTCGCTCAGAGCAACCTCAATCCACACGCGCCTAAATCGCGCATCATCCAATGCTCCTACAACTTCGCTCAAGACCACTCCTACGAGGAGCCAACTCCCTCAGGTCTACGAAACCATAGCGAGATAACTCCCACGAGGAGACTACTCGCTCCGTCCTATAACCCGTTGCGAGGCAACTCCCATGAGGAGCCAACCCCCTCGGGTCTCAAAACCACAGCGAGATAACTCCCACGAGGAGACCATTCGCTCCGTCCTATAGCCCGTTGTGGGACAACTCCCACGAGGAGCTAACCCTCTCTGGTCTCAAAACCACAATGAGATAACTCCCACGAGGAAACCATTCGCTCCGTCCTATAGCCCGTTGTGGGACAACTCCCACGAGGAGCTAACCCTCTCTAGTCTCAAAACTACAGCGAGATAACTCCCACGAGGAGTGCACTCGCTCAATCCTACAACCCGTTGCGAGGCAACTCCCATGAGGAGACAACTCGCCCGAAATTCAATATATAATCGCAAGCTCAAGATAGCACGATTACGACCCTAGAAACACTTAGAAATATTATGGGAATCTACATAGCCTGGCCAGCTTGATTACTCAAATTTATCTACTTGTTTTCGATGGGTCCTTCACTAAAACGTGGCCACGGTCCAAACATACTTACGACCCACGAGGTCTAACAAAGGGCACGATCCCCATATAAAAATCTTGAGAGCCTGATCCCCTCCTCAAGTACATCACGCAGAAGGCTATATGTAAACACATACAAGCAACGCGTCAAAACATTGAAAATGTCGAAAAATAACAACTCCCACGAGGAGAATACTAGCTCCGTGCTACTACATTAACGCGAGACAACTCCCACGAGGAGATAATTCGCTACTACATCGTCGCTAGACAACACCGACGACTCAAGTAACTTACATCGTGACAACTTGGTCGCTCAATAAATAACAACTCCCACGGGGAGATTACTTGATCCGTGCTACTACATTATCGCGAGACAACTCCTACGAGGAGATAACTCGATCAACACTATTACCCCGCGACGAGACAACTCCCACGAGGAGATAATTCGCTACTACAGCGTCCGGGACAAAACCGACGACTCAATTAACTTACATCGCGACAACTTGGTCGCGCTATGCGCCAACGCGCATTCACGCCCCTCCGACACACGCTCCAATATATTTTCGCACACCATCAGGCCATATGCCAAAGAACGAACACTACAATTTTTACTCTCGACACGATTGAGAACCCATTTCGACATGGCCCCCACATCGACTCGAGAGTGGGGGGCTTAATGATATGCCTAATTGGGCCAACCCAATGGGCCTACAATTTATTTACCTACTGGGCCACGAGCCCAATATCGAAGACCACTATCACCGAGGCCCAATCACCTTCAAGCAAGGTTTGGGGCCCGACAATCTCGACTAAGCTATAAATACACCTTTGAACTCATTCCTTAAGGTACGTCCTATTATCTGAGCAATACTACTAATGGTATTCTCTGGACTATTTCTATGATCAGCACGTCTGACTTGAGCGTCGGAGGGGTTTCCGCCGGATCAACCCCCGGCTTAGCTTATGTGTTCTATGATCGCAGGTACCTCAGGATCATCAAGTTGTCAAGCTACTGATCTGCTTTGCTCTCCCAGTTCGTTTTCTACACCACCCTAGGTGAGCTAGTAATTAGCATCATCATGTTTTATTTTCGAGTCAAGCTTCATAACTTATCGAACGGAAATATACATTCAATTCAACCTTGATTATTTTGTTAATAAATCGAACTCAAGTAAACTTTTAAAGAACCATACTGAAATAAAGTAGTTTGATTTTCAATCTTAATTCAAAATCCCACAAAACACTTTATTATTATTATTATTATTATTATTATTATTATTATTATTATTATTATTATTTTAATTCTATTTGATTTATATGAACACAAATGATTGCTTTATTGTATAAAAGTAGTGTAGTCAAGCAGCCCATGTTGTCTTAATAGTGTTACGAAATATCTAGGAAAACTACAACCATATATTATTGTATTATTAATTTTTTTTTTGTACTTTTGCTATTTGCTTATTCAAACATATAGAAAACATTGCAGGAAAAAAGATATTTGTTTTGATTCTCAACTTTATTATAAATATAAAGTAGTCTTAATTTGAAATTCATTTTGTATTACTAATTTCAATTTATTTGACCTACGTGTAAGTTTTCTCCATTTTCGGTCGTTCGATGTTACATCCAGTGAAATTTATTGTTTTCAAATTACATAACTATTCTACTTATACGTGTGAATAGGATTATATTATTAATCGAATTTAGATAAATTAATAATCTCGCTTAAATAATAATTTATCCCTATCCTGACTCGGTGAAAACGTACTAAATTATTACTTCGATAATCTAATATTTCGTTAAATTAATAAAATTTTGCTAGTCCCGACTGTATTAATTTATAGAAGTTTAACTGTTCAGTTCCTAGTGTTAACATCGACTGAAATAAATCTCTTAGCCTACCCTGTCGAATACTAAACAAATATTCCGGATCACTCTTAGAATAAAATTATTTCTACAAAAATAAAATGTATTTTTTTCAAAATTGGGTTTCTCTACTTAAATATTAAATTCTTCAAAGAAATGAAACCTTCCGAATTTGGACTATGGCCCATTGGGCCATTCGAAGTATCTACTTGTACAACCCTACTTGGCAATTTAGTCAATTGAAGGCCCATACTTAAGTTTTTAATTAGCCCAACAATTTATATAGTTATAGCCCATGAGAAGTAATAGTTGAAAAGTAGAAATGTAGAGTAAGTCAAACGGGAGGTGGATTCTGTACGGTTGCCAAACATTTTACTCAATACTGCGTACCAATCGTACTATTCAGTATCGATATTACATATATTGTTACATGACCAAAAAATGTTGTTCAGTATACCGTCGTCGCGTTCGGTATACGGTATGGTTGGTACGTGGTATTCTACCGTCTAATGTGGTTTACATTTCTCGTATGATTTATAAGTTATTATACGAGATTGTAAGTTTACCCGATACAACGAGTTCGTTCATTCATTCCCCCCCCAAAAAATAAAAATAACACTAACTCTTTATGTGATAATGTAAAATGTACCCCACATATTAGTGAAAATATCATTTTCTGGAACACATTTTTCCATTCGAACTTTAAATTTTCTGATTTTTTACTTTTCAATAACTTGAAATAAGTTTCAAAACAAATTTAAATTTCTCAAAAATATTAATTCCAATCTGATCTGTTCCATTTCAAAAAATCAAATGAAGTTACTTATTAGTCTATATTTATTCGTTCAATTCTCCACCGCTAAAAGTTGAAAATGGAATCCTTATTCCCTTTTGCATCATACGTACAACATTTCATGTTCAATTCTTTAATAAATAATAATTCCATTGTACTTTTGCACATGCTACAAATTATGGTTACACTATTAATGCTCCAACTTAAAATATTAATTTCATTTTTCAATAGATGGTCTATCGATTGGACCAAATGAGTCGGTATCAATTAACCTAAGTTCGAATTCTCCTGCTAATGGTTGCTAGGTCGAGTTTAACACACATGGTTGGTTTATTGTGGTTTACATCTCTCGTATAATTTACAAGCTATTATACGAGAGTATAAGTTGACTGCAAGTTCCTCCAACACAATTCTTTTAATTTTTAACAATGATTTAACTTAATTTGTTAAACACAACAATTATAAGTAGATCACATTATTTTAATTTAGTAAAAAATGAAATCCATGTCTTGGTCAATTTGTAGTTGATTCAATTAAAATTTTATTTTGCATACTAGTATATTACTAGTCAAATTGTTTCAAAAAAAAAATATTACTAGTCAAATTAATTTGTAAATAAATAATAATATTGGGGCACATTTGAATATTATTATATCAATTTCCAAGTGGGCCACAATTAGAGCTACGTGTATAAATATGCGTTGTCTACAAAACATGGTGGTGGTGGCCCCCACAAAAACATTTCAAACATTTCAAACAAAAGCACTAAATTAAATATTTTCAAAAAAAAAAAAGAAAAGCACTAAATTAAACATAATTATCATTTTAATCCCTTAATTACTATACGATTAACTATAATTAGAATTCGTATTTACAACAAAATACAGCTCTTCCGTTCAACTCGACGAATTTTCCTTGGAAGGGCATCTCTCCTTTTCCGCAACCCATTCCTCTCTCTCTTTCTCTCTCTCTCTCTCTCTCTCTCTCTCTCTCTCTTCCTCTGCTTTCTCTCTCTTGATCTCTACAGCCATCAATTGCATTTGTTCATCTCTTTCTCTCAGATCTGCTGCGCCGGTGAAGGAATCTGTAATTTCGTCAGGTATGATCTTAATCCTTTTCCTTTATTTTGATATTATTCATTTTCATTTGTAGCTATTGGGATTTTTCAATTTGCTTTAGTTCTAGATCTGATTTCTGCCAGCTATGTGTTTATAGTTCAGATTTTATTTTCCTTAGTTGTAATTAATTCTTCAGATCTGTATTTCGTGTTTAAATTGGCGATTTTTTTGGAAAAATTGATTGTTTTTTCGTGCATTATTTGTTCTGTTATGCTTGTTTTGGTCAAATGTCTGTGGGAGACTGTGTTTTTTGTTGGCTAATTGGTTGTTATAGGTTGATGGTAGATTTTTGTTAATCAGAAAGATAATTTATGGTGTTGCTTTCATTTTCTATTGTTTAATTGACCTAAATGATAACTGCGATAATCGTGAATTCGGAATGTGGTTATTTTGGAAATTGATTCATCATCTTGAAATCTCTTGTTATTCATTGAATTGCAAATGTTATGCGCTGTTTTAGTGATACGCTGTTTGCAGTTTGGCTGTGCAGGCAATAACTCTGAAAGGGTTAGCTAATTTGGCTCCTCCCAAGCCAAGGCTGTAATGAAGAAGGCTATTGGTCAAACTGTCCGCGACCTGTGAGTTTTCTTTGTTAACGAATGCGCAAGTTATATTGTCGCTGCACTTAATTTCATGGACTGTTTTCTCTGTTATTGTATCTCGGTATAAGATCCTCCCGAGTGCAAAAAAGCCAAAAAATAAGTGTTCATGTGGAAGATTTTAGTTGTAGAAGTGTTTGCAATCATGACTGATCAAGCTTGATCTGATAATTTATAAGTATTATTATTTTCATCTATCGAGCTCTATAGTTTGATTAGATTCTATGTTAAGTTTGATACCAAGCATTTCTTATAAATTTTATTGTCATGTTGCAGTAAGAGAGAAGTTAATAAGAAGGTTCTGAAAGTCCCTTCAATCGAACAGAAGGTAGTTATTTTCTTTTCCATTCAGATTGACCTTTTCCTTTCCTACTATTATATTGGAAGCTGGTCATTTTGTATGAGAATTGATAATGTGTCTCAACAAGTGTTTAATTCTGAAAAATGAACTGTTTGTTGTTTATTTATTCAGTGGTTTTAAGCATTTGTTGTTTTCTTCTCTCAGGTTCTTGATGCAACTAGCAATGAGCCCTGGGGTCCTCATGGATCACTTCTTGCTGATATTGCTCAGGCAACGAGGAACTAGTAAGTCCTAATTAAATCAATATGATTAACTTCATGGGGTTACATTTTACTTCAATGATACTCATTTTTCGAGTTTTGACAGTCACGAGTATCAAATGATCATGTCAGTTATCTGGAAGCGTACAAATGATACTGGAAAAAATTGGCGGCATGTATACAAGGTTTGTTTCCCTTTGTTTGAAATTCAGACATGTTTAAAATTCGTAACTTAGGGACAGCTCTTCAGATACAATCGCGGAGATTTATGTGGTTCCTTTTGCATATTTTGATCAAGCAAGTACACTTAACAGCGATCTCTGTGTAGGGAAATATGTATTTTGAGTTAATCCACTTTTTTTTTTTCTTTCAAAAACTGATTCTGGTGCTTACAGTCTTTGTGTTTGTTGCATATTTTCTTAGTGCTGCTCTCTTAGCAGCTACCAATATTAACAATCACATGAGTCCTTTCTAATGATTTTGCAGGCCTTGACTGTTTTGGAGTACTTGGTAGCCCATGGGTCTGAACGTGTCATTGATGACATCAGGGAACATGCATATCAAATATCAGTTAGTTTATTCCTCATCTAAATTCTTTGTTTTATAGATACTCCAAAAGTGTTCACTGATTGTGACGTTCATAACGTTTTCTTTGGTGACAGACATTGTCAGATTTTCAATATATTGATTCTAGTGGGAAAGACCAGGGAAACAATGTTAGAAAGAAATCACAGAGTCTTGTAGTTCTGGTAAATGACAAGGAAAGAATACAAGAAGTTCGTCAAAAGGCTGCTTCTAATAGGGAAAAGTAAGTGAGCATTTCAAATTGTCTGATTCCATGGTTCAAATGCATGGCAAATCTGTAACTTGTAATTATCTTCTGATTCAATATCCTTGGTGATCCTTGAACTTATTATTTGATGTTGTATAATGATTAATGAGTTATCTAAAGTTAATGATTTCATGTGTACTATTACGGTATCTTGTTGCTTGGCAGTGACTTGACATAAATCCATATTCGCTGTGGCTTTTATGCTAATGTGTGAATATTTGAAACTGCGTTTTTCGTTCAGGGATTCTGGGTTCATGCCTACGGCGTGTAATGCATATAAATATAGGTTCAGTTATCTTTGACTACAGGTGTAGGGTTGTGGAGAAATTTTCATCTATAAATGTACTATGAATGTTATATTTTCAATAATAGATGTTTATTAATGTTGTAGTCTTTTGATCGTGTTTAGTGGGATATGTACTGTAGGATGTATGATTATTTTAGTTAAGCTATTCAGGTCCACAAAAAACATGTTTCCTCAAAACATGAACCACAAACTCTTCTTATTTGGGAGAAGTAAATGTATTCCCAATGTAACACCAAACTAGGCCTATGGTTTTCCATAAACGAGATCTTATTTTGTTAATTATTATTTCTATAGGTACCGCAACACTCCTGGGGGTGGTATGTATCGCCCTGGCTCAAGTCCTGGAGGGTATGGAGATAGATATGATGATGATCGGTACGAAGGCCGGAATGGAAACAAAGATGACGACCGAAATGGTTACGGAAGGGAGAGAGATCCGAGAGATGATGATAGGTACGGTCGTTATGGAGAATCATATGGTCGTGAGGGTGATAGGAATAGTAGGGATGATGAGGACAGGTATGGGCGAGATGGATACAGGGATGATGGTTCTCGAGGAAGAAGTCAAAGCGTTGACAACTATCAATATGGGTCAAGGAGTAGAAGTGCTGACCGGGACAGGGGTCGAGCAAATGAGGATGATGGCCAATACTCCAACAGGTTTGTTGAGTTACCATAGCCTTAAATCCAATATAATTTATGTGGTAAATTTCTTAGACTCAATTTCCTTAAAAGGTTATATTGTATAGCATGATCAAAGTTGAAAACTTTGGATGACTTCATAGATTCAGGTTCTTGCTTAGAAAGCTGAGTTAAAGAGTATAAGAGTTTCAAGTCAAAATTTGTTTTTCCTTTCGTAGCTAGAAAATCTTGAAGCATGTGACTGGAAATGGCAGTTTAATGATGCATTTCTAGGAACTGATTTTGATGTTATCCAACCAAAGATTCTTTTAAATTCAGTTGTGTCAAATTTAGTTACTGAGAAGTTTTTACTATTAATTACATATTATAACTACACCGACTATAAAAAACAGGAAGAAAGTGGAGAAGTAATAAATCTCTTCTGAAGCAAGCGTCGCGCTCCTGTTTCAAAATGATTTTTTTTCATGGTCGTTCTATGTGCATTAGTCTATTTTAGAATGATACGTCACGGGTTAATTCTTTTAAACTTGAAGTACTTTTAGGAACCCAAATGTCACTATTTTCATGCTGCTAAAATCTGATGGAATTATTTGAATTGAAAATGCAGGTTTGCTGTTTAAATGCATCTTTAGATGAGACCAGTCATTCTAATTTCGGATTAGTTTATGTGAAATATGAAACTATGAAGTTGTTTGATCTTTTCCTAGATTCATTGAGTTAAATAGACATTATCTTTTTAATAAAATGATTATCCATAAGAGAACTCATGAAGGGGACATAGGACTTGCCATCTGGTAGAAGAGAAGCAAATATGTCCTCACAGGAAACATAAAGAAAGAAAACTCTCTCATTATGATACATATGACCTTGGTCTTACCGTAAACTTCATAGAAAAAACAGAACACTTACAAGGTTGCTTGTAATGCTCATCAGAGTCTTCAACTTGTGTGCCGGTGAAGTCATCAGATCCATTTAGAGTGACTCTGTGCCTGTAGTTAAATCACTGTTCATATTCATGGTTCCTTTGGGGGATATGTTCCATACGTACTGCCAGAATATTAGATTGATAAGGGGACTAGCATATCAAATTCAGTCTCAATGAGTGTGTGCTGCATTTCTTCAAATATGTGTTCAGTTTGGGTTGAGTTTAGGTACATTTTTGGGGGAATTCTATATTTTAAAATAAAAAGGATGTTCATTCTCCTTTTGCAGAGGAAGTGGTGCCAAAGCTGATGACCATTCTCAAGATGGAAGGTACTTTTGAATTTTGATAGCCTATTTTGACTTCTTCATATACTTGGCCTAATGAACGATTGTTAACTAAATGTCATTTAATTTTTTATTTCCTAATTAGTTCTACTGGCAAGAGTCTTGATCGTAAATATTCCGGACAAAGCTTCGGTGCACCTCCCACTTATGAGGATGCCGTTGGCGCTGCCCGCAGTCCTTCTTACAGTGACAGGTATTATAATTGTATTTATTGCCTACCCACTGTTTGACGGGTTTCTTTTTTGGTTCTAAATTAGTGTCATTAACAGGGATGGAGAATCTTCACAAGCATATGCCCCTAAAGCATCCTCTCCCACAGGTGCTAGTCCAACTCATACAGCAACTGCTCCTGCTCCACCCCCTGCTCCTGCTTCACCACCTGCTCCTGCATCCGCTACAGCTTCAGCTGAGTCCACAACTGAACATAGCAACAAGGAAGTTGAGGGATTCGATGAATTTGATCCCAGAGGTTCATTTTCAGGTAAAGAAATTTCAGTAATAGGAATTATATGGCATTAGTTTATTTGATTTTCGCCTTCTGGTTACTAATTTTTTTCTGTTTGATTATGTGGATTCATATGTTTGTCTATCCTGCAACTTTAGAATCATTTCATGTTAATGTAATATCTATTTTTCGTTCTTGGACTTAGTTGTAAGCTAGCGGATATAAGTAAACACTTTGTTCTTATTTTTCAAATTTTGAACAGCTGTCCCGACTACAACCAATGTTGCAGCTCCTGTTACATCTTCTATGGAAATGGATTTTCTTGGATCCTTGTCGGAGTCTTTTTCTTCAAATTCATTGGCTCTCATGCCTGTTAGCCAGCCTGCCACGACTTCTGAAGGTGTAACTGCGCCACCAGCATCCAATAATCAGGTAATGGTGTTAACAATTTATATCTGACGAGTTGTTTCATTCTTCTAGTAACACTCTTAGGCTTTTCCATGAACTGCACTCTCAGTAAGTGCAAAATCCGTTGGGATTTTGGCACTATGTTGTTTCACATTGATGAAATTGCAATTAACCCCGATGGAAGTTTTATGTTTAGTTTGACTAGTGCACGAATGTCTGGACTCGGAAGCTGTAAGCTTCCACTATTTGATCAATTGGCCATTTTCCAAATATTAATCTTCTTTTACTCCACGAAAGTTCTATTGCTGCAAGTCTTGCTTTCCTGTTGAGTAGTTAAAAGGATATGCAATCCAGTCTGATGATGTTTCAAATGTGAGCTACAAGAAATTATGAAAACTCAGTTATATGCAATTGATTAGGAGTTGTTTTTCACTAACCCTATGTTGATAAATACAACCTTATGTAGAGGAGCGATGTTGGGGAAATGGTTCAACTGTTAAAGCAAATATTATATACACTTGTCACCTGTTATTGCCATTGCTTTTTTCTGTTTCTGTAATTGTCAAACACACACCCTCTTTTCCTCATGGATCCTCATGTACAAAAGTGTATTTGAAACTCGAGTATTCGGCAATGAGCGATAAGAAAACAGGGAATGCTTAAATTGTTCAAGGGGTATGCATAGACAAGGTAAATTATAACTGTTGCTTCTAGTCTTCTAATTTTACCCCAACATCACTCCTCTGTTGAAAAGTTAAAGACAATTAGTATGTTTAAGTGTGCACATCTGAAGGAAGGTAGTCTTGCTCGGTTCCTCTTGTTTCTGTCATCCTCAAATCCAAATTCTTTCTTTCTCACAGATATTCATGCACAAATGTAAGTAAGAATTAAGACATTGCCTGAACATATTTTACCAAACATGTCGAACTTTAGATCACTTTACTTTTTATTTTTCCCCGTTTACTTGTTAAGACTCCTTTTTGTACTAGTTGGTATCCTAATTCTCCGCCCTTTGGATGCATTGTATTGCAACATCATGCATTTTTCGGAATTAAAATAGTTTTTTTGTTTTTTTGCAGCCCTTTGATGATCCATTTGGGGATGGTCCATTTCAAGCTGTTCCTTCTACAGAGAGTGTATCGATGCAACAACCAATCACTGCACCCAATAATTCCTTTAATACAAACTCTAGTCAAGGCTTTGATGTCCCACAACCAGGTTCTCAAAACTCATCAAGTGAATTTGGGGGTAATTTTTACGATCAAACATACATGCCATCCGGTCCTCCTGCTGCGCAACCTCCTACAAACACACAGTTTGTTCAACCCAATCACGATTTCGATATATTAGCAGATATTCTCCCACCATCTGCACCTTCATCTTACTCTAACGCACAACCTGATTATCAAGTTCCGTCAAACCAATCGCAAACAAGTTACCCTCTTCAATCAGCAGAACCCGTTTCACAAACTGGCTATGCGCCCCCAACCATGGCTTTGACCTACCCAGTTCAAGCTGGTCAACCATCACAGATGAATTTTCATTCTCAAAATGGTCCCGCACAGTCAAATCTGCCAAATCCCAACTACTATGGATCTTACAATTCACAACCAGTATCCACTGGCCCCACTGGTGCTTACATGGCTCCTCCTAGTTCCACCGCGCCCACTACTACACAGCACAATTTTCTCTCACAGCCAAGTCCAGCTACACAAGTACAACCGGGCAGCTACAATGCTCCATCTTCAGTAGCGTCTTCTGCTATAGTACCTCTACCATCGAAAGACAAGTTCGAGACAAAGTCCACTGTTTGGGCAGACACACTGAGCCGGGGGCTGGTCAATTTGAATATTTCCGGACGTAAGTTTTCACATTTCCAATTATTTATCCATTTGAATTATCCATAGAATACTCAATTTTTGATACCAGTTAGTTTGATGTTAAACTTGTGTGCGCAGCTAAAACAAATCCATTGTCTGATATTGGAGTTGATTTCGACTCAATAAATCGAAGGGAGAAAAGGATGGAGAAACCAACAGCAGCTGCAGTAACATCCACAGTGACCATGGGCAAAGCCATGGGTTCTGGTTCGGGTATCGGTCGTGCTGGTGCAGGTGCTATCAGAACTCCACCAAATCCAACGATGAATCCCGGCATGAATATGGGAATGAATGGCGGCCCTGGTGCTGGAATGGGAATGGGAATGGGAATGGGAGGTTATGGTGTAAACCAACAAATGGGGAGAGGAATGGGGATGGGGATGAATATGCCTGGAAACAACATGGGTATGGGAATGCCTGGAAACAACATGGGTATGGGTCCGGGTATGAATATGGGTATGGGTATGGGCATGGGTATGGGTATGGGTATGGGACAGGGTATGAATATGGGAATGGGTCAGGGTATGAACATGGGTATGGGTCCGGGTATGAATATGGGTATGGGTCCGAGTATGAACATGCAACAGCAGACGGGAGTTCCTCCTGGATCTACTACAGCTCCTGGAGGAGGTTATAACAATATGATGGGAACCGGGAATTACGGTCAACAGCCGTATGGTGGTGGCGGTGGCTATCGATGAACAAACGAGTGGGTGTATTTGAGATTTCTGAGGTGAGATTTGAAGGTTATTTTTATTATTATAGGGAAAATGACTCGACCGTATAAAATATGATTTTACTAGATATATATATGATGAAGTTGGGAAGCTATAAAAGTTTTCTTGTTCGGTTGTAATTTTTTTTTTTTTCGTTTTGGCTGTGTGTAACATGTGCGTGTATTCATTCTTTGAGGTTTTTTATTTACTCTTTACCTTTTTATGGTTTTTTTTTGGGTCACATTGAGCACATTAGGCGCGTCCCCATAGTACTTATAGCAGTTGAAATTGCAATCGTTGTATATTGTGAAATATCGAAGGTGACCTTTCTCGGGTCACTCTTTTTTTTTTTTTTTTTTTATGTAATTTTGCCTATATCCTTTTGACATTTTACTCATCTTTTGGAAGATTGTATGGCTACTCTGAATAAATTTAACAATTCTTTTTTCGCCTTGAGCTTCTTATTTTGGTCCCTTTTTTTGGTCTTTTTAATTGGAGATTATTATGTATGTTCAAGGATTCCATAAAAGTAGTAAACAATTAGAAACGGTGACGAGTATTAGCCCGTTACACGATCCAACGGTCATAGCCATCGTTTTGAAACACACTTGAATCTCAACATGGATTTCACCGGCAATTTGTAAAAGATTTCCTCGTATTTCACAAGCTAAATAACTACGTTGATCATTACAAACAATCTGCCAAACATGGTTTTCGGATCAAGTAACTATTATTATAAATTGACAAATTAATGATTAAATGATATGAAAACATACATACAGGTTCGATTAGGCCTAGCAAAAGAACCCCCTTCGTTCTTCCTTGCATACAGGTACATATCGGGCCTTCGGAAGGCTGTACAAACGAGCCAAAACTCTACAAACTACATCAATTTCCGATTTCTCCGCATCAAAAGCTTCCCACCAAGGAGGATTTTCAGGTAGCGGTACTTGAAATCTACGTGCCGCAGCATACACTACGCCACATGCCACAACCTCACTCGTAAATTTCACACACAACGTCGTGCGCAGACTGTCGTTCGCAAGATTCCACGCTTCTTGTATGAGCTCCGCGGGAGTTCCCAGCGCTGCAAGGTAAGTCGATATAAACTTATGCGGATGCTCGACATGACAGACGAAGCCCATCTCTTTCAAAACATGTCTCTCCATTCTAATCAAATCTTTCTTTAGATCATCGTACTTCTCGGAAGACGTATCCAAATGTTCGACGGGTAAATTCTCTCTCCTACATTCCATCCTGCGGAAAACAATCAGAACGTGCTTTGCTTTCCGGGGACTTTCTTCAAGTTTCGAAGCGAGCCAAACACAACCGGCGGCAACCATCTTTACGTTGAACCGGACGAACGATTGCTTGCAGTAGAAACGATGGAATAGGACCTGACCGGTTGCCATAGCAACTTGAGGTAACCGAAGAAGTATGCCGGATTCTTGTATGAGATCACAGCCGTAGATTCTAAGCGTGGTTTCAGTGGCTTCGTCGATTCCGTCTTTACGAGACGGTGAGTTCTTCAGCTGTTCATCTGTTAGATGAAATGTGTCGATTGATGAATAAACCATGTTTTCCTTTCGACCGAGTTCTGCTGGTGTAACTCTCCGCCGCGAATCTGATGAACACGATGAACGGGAAATTGAAAAAGGGTTGCTACTTTTGAAAATTCAAACGGTGCTGTTTCTGAAATTCCGGCCTGATTACGCTACAGTTAGCGAACGGGATTCAACACCGTGCGATCACAACCCTAGAGAGACGGTGGGAATCAGGAAATTAAATAGGCGCCGTAACCCTAGAGAATGGAATTGGTGGAAGCCGTAAGGGCGAGGGCGAATTTGTTCCGGCGAGGGATTCGTCGGCGCAGGGGAGGGCGAATTTGTTCCGGTGAGGGATTCGTCGGCGCAGGGAAGGGAGAATTTGTTCCGGCGAGGGATTCGTCGGCGCAGGGGAGGGGGATTTTATCCGGCGAGGGATTCGTCGTTGCGTGAGATTCAAATTAGAGAGGGGGTTATTATATATATAGATAGCTAGGAAATAGATTTGCACTTACCTAAACCTAATAGAACTATAATACCATAAATATAAATAACACTAATAATATAAAAAATAATAATTTTTTTTTTGTATTTCGTATTATATACTTTTTTTTTGTATTTCGTATTTTAGGGAGTTCAAATATTATTTATTGCATAACATCGAGTTTGGCAACAACAGAAGAAAATCGAAGCAAAAATTGAAATCTCGAAAAACAATGGTAATGATGGGGAGTTAGATGCTACACCTGGTTATTTAGATTAGGTGGATTTGAATCAAAGATTTGATTAAATAACTACTCAATAAGTACACAATTGATGATTGGTTCATTACCAAGAGAACATGACCCGAGACCGATTGAGTAGCGCGAATATTTGAATTTGAAGATGAACTTATTACGAATGGGTGAAGAAAAGGAAGAAAATAAAAAACCGTAATACATATACTATGATCATCATCGTTCATCGCTACCGAACGGTGAAACCAAGCTTTCATCGTAGAAAACGGGCTTCACTTGATCGACAATATTAATCCGAGACCTGCACAACTCATTTTTACCATTGCAAACAACAACTACATTCGAGTCAACAGCCACCGCAATATCTCCATTATTCTTCAAACACAACGGCATCACGCAAATCAAACGCCGACCGACGTCGAAAAAATCGGAAAGCGTCCAAACCTTAGTCCAAGATTCGCCCGCGCCGTACTCCATCATAGCCCAAATGTTGACTTCCCATAACGAGTCAACGTTTATAACAACCAAACTAAGGTAGCCGCCCAATTCTTCCAACTTTAGTCGATGATCGTATCGGTCCAAGATTCCTCCCACAATTATTCTCCCTATATCCAAGCATCTCGGACGAGCCACAACTTCGTACTTCTCCTCGAACGAATCAAGAGAAACGATATCGTAACCGCGACCATTAACTTTCAAAGGAAGTAGCCAATGGAACCTTCCATTAACAAACTTGGCCGAAAATCTACCCGGACAACCCAACTCGAAATCGCGAATCTTCTTCCAAGAATTGGTCTTGGAACTATACACGTGTGCCGGGCAGGGTTCCGGATAAGCGGATATATCAACGCACACAACCGTGTACTCGTCGGTCGACTCGTGGTACCCGAACCCGAACGAGAAATCTCGCAACAAACCCCAACTAAAAGAAGGTAGCGGAATCTTCTTGATTCTTCGAGTCGAAGGATTCCACGAAAGCAATACATCTCTCACGCTGACGGTGATCAGCACCACCCCGTTAAAATGTCCGACGACGCAGCCCCATTCGGCGGAACTTCTGACCGGATAAAGATTGTCGAGACCGGTACTCAAATCGATTACGGGTTCGCCTCGAAGAGAATACGAACGCACGGTGAAGAAGTTGGTTTGGTAGCGCTTGAAGAAGGTGAGCCGATTTTGATACGTCGAATCCGTCAGATCTTTATCGGTGGTGCTACTCGATTTCTTGAAGTGGCGCTTGGCGAAGTAGTTGCCGGAGATTAACGAACGCCATCGTTTCGAAACGCACTTGAATTTTAATAGGGTTTTCACCGGCAAATTGAGCAAGATTTCTTCGATTATTTCTTCTGGAATTTCGAGTGTGTTTATCTCTTTCCCCATTATATTCTTCACCGGACGTTAAAAATAATAAGGAATATTCTTCGTCGTCTTCTTCTTCTTCTTCTTCTTCACTGGCAGTCTGTAATTTTAACCTAGAGATCTATAACTGAAAAACCCTATTAAGAATTGGAGTTGGAATAGGACTCTATTAATTTATTGAGAGATTAAATAATAATCAAGCAAGAGAATTTTTGATGTAGGATTTTTCCTTTTTTCTTTTATTTTTTTATTTTTTTATTATTATTATTATAATATAATTTTATAACAAAAGGAAACTAGGGCTTTCTTTCCAAATCCAATACTAAAGTAGAACAAATAGTACACTTAAATCTCTATAAATTAATATAAGGGGCCTTAAGATATAGGTCCCTAGTGACAAAACTTATTAGAACTAAATGACAAGTCTAACTAAACATTTGCTTCACATCCTTTATTAAATTTATTCCAAAAATGCCCTTCTCCTACCAAATTCGAAATTTACCTTAAATAAATTCAAATTGCATTTATCATTTTCTTAGTCTGCATTTAATTTTTTAATTTTTCTAAATTTTATTTTTACAGAATACTGATTTGTCCTTTTTTTTTTTCCTTTCGTCTTTTTAGTATTTTATACATTATTATAAAAAAAATCCTTTTTTTACGTAACATGTATTGAAAATTTAAAAAATATATATATGTTATTTTTTTATTTTTTTATTCAAATCTTCTATCAATAACTGCAGTTATTTATATTTACCGTAGTCATTATCATGCTTGTAGGCATATAAAACTGGAGTTTTACTTCTTCGCACATTGTCTGGCTATTCATATACAGTACATCATCTGCTATTCATATATGGATATTCATATACAGTGCATCAACTTGTAGTATACTACGGTGTACTGTGGTATACTACGGAGTACTATAGTATACTACAGTGTACTATTCCAAACCCTAGCCGCCAACAACTCCTAGCCGTCGCCAACCCTAGCAATCGACGCAGCCGCCGTCAAACCCTAGCAGCGCGACAACTGCAGCCGTCGGCACCCATAATCACCTACCATCTGTTGAAAAACCTAGATCTGGAATTTTGAACCCTAACGTGTGCCGCCACGCAATCGTTGCCCTAAAAACGTTCAATAACCTACAACAAATCGAATAAAAATAGCAAATCAGATCCAAAACCAAGCCAAAATTCTTAAAAAAACAATAAAAACATATACAATTAGTCAACATATACTTTTAATCACAGATCTGTACAAAACATGAAAAAAATTAGCAAATCTTATAAAAGAAAAAGAAAAGAAAAACCTGTTTCTCCGCCATACAATACCCCGCCGCTGCCGCCTCAACCACTTCCTCCGTCGCTCCACTCCTGCTCTCTCGGTCGCCGACCTTTGTGCTTGATGGAGAAGCAAGATAGAGATGTAAGAGAAAAAGAGAGAGGAGAGAGATCGATATAAAGAAGACGAGAGGAAAAAGCGAGAGAGAAGATGGAAGAAGAGAAATAAATCTGAGATGAGAAACGTGGTATATGTAAGTTATAATATTTAAGGAATAAGGGCAAGATAGGGATTAAAAAAAAGTTAGGGATGTGAGTCATATATTATTTCAAGTTGAGGATTTAATTAAAAGATTGAATTTAGACTTGTCATTTAGTTCAAATTAGGTTTGATTTGAGGGACTCATAGCATATTACCCCTTAATATAATCGGGATTAACGAAATTCTATTAATTTAACGAAATATTAAATTAAATAATTTAGTATGTCTTTTTCGATCCGGGACAGGTAACTTAAAAAAAAATTATTTAGACGAGATTATTAACTTATCGAGTATCAATTTATCGAATTTCTACTTTTAGTTTGAGTAATAAACATGCTAGTCGAAAAATATACAAATTTTGACGGTTACCCACCAAAATTTTAGCATCTTTTTGGAAACTTTAGGGTGTTCATGGGCGAATATGATTGAAAAGCTTAGCAATTTTTCGGTGAATATTTATCGAAAATACTCGTTTTCATCATCTATAGGCCATTTTGTAATTTCTAAAAAATTAGAAACATGTTTGAATAACAAAATTTCCAAACATTCTTATTACTTTCCTAATTATTTACATGATTTAATGATATATCTATTGCAAATTAATAGCTCATAATAATATTTATTTGAAATATATTTGTACGGAAATATATAAAAAAAAAATTATACGTAATAAAATCTTATATATGTTTATATAGTTTATTTATAAATATACCCCTATACTTTCAATATTTATATGTTTCCCCCAAATTCCCGTCTCGGTGTATCCCCATTTCCCGGGTATCCGTTTCCTCGTCTTCCCGTATCACTGTTTCCGTGTCCGTGCTACACACGCTTATACTGATTCAAAATTCAATTTTATTATTTTTTTTTTTATAAATAACTTGAGATTGAAATACTCCTAATTACTAAAATTAAAAACTATAAATTGATAAACAAAAATATTTTTATCTATAGAAATATTTAAAAACACTTTTAAAAAAAGAACTAAAATTATTTCATCAATATAAATAGTTAGGGGTAAATTAGTGTGCCGCCGAAAAGGGGGGAAAATTTTACAGAGGTGGGTACCGCCGTAGAATGAGCAAAACGGTGCTCAAATCTGCTGCTGTTGTATTTTCTCCGGCGCCATTCTTCAATTCATTCAAACACTTCACCCGATTCTTCACCACCGACAACTACTTTCTCCAGGGTTTAACATCCGACCAAGAAATCATCACCACCGCCGACTCCATTGACGCACCACCCCACAATCAATTTTCATCCCGAGACCTCTCGTTTCTCGAGGAATCCATTTCCGATGCGGCCAAAGTTGCCGACTTTGATTCCGTCAAGTGTTCGTCCGACGCCGTTTCGATCATTAACGCCGTCAGGAGCTACAACGACGGTTTGGGGGAGAAATCCCACAAGTTTCTTAGAGGGTTTAGGGAGAAACTGAACGAGAATTTGGTGGTTGATGTGTTGAGGAACGTGCGGAATGTGGAATTGGGGGTTAGGTTTTTCATGTGGGCTGGTGGGCAAATAGGGTACACTCATACTACGGCTGTTTTTGATGCTTTGCTAGAGTTACTGGGCGGTGACGGATTCACCGATGATTTACTTCTCGAGATCAAGAAGGATGACTGTGAGGTGTTGGGTAAATTGCTCAATGTGCTGATTCGAAAGTGTTGCAGTAGTGGGAGGTGGAATTTGGCGTTGGAGGAATTAGGGAGGCTCAAGGATTTAGGGTACAAGCCGTCGAGGGCGACGTACAACGCGCTTATACGCGTGTTCTTAGAGGCGGGGAAATCCGATACCGCATTTCTGCTTCATAGGGAGATGTCGGATTCGGGGTTTAAGATGGACATGCGTATTTTGGGTTTTTTTGTGCAGTTTTTGTGCAGGATGGGTAAATGGAGAGAAGCGTTGAGTATGATCGAAAAGGAAGAGGTTCGGCCCGATACTGTAATGTACACGAAAATGATTTCGGGTTTGTGCGAAGCTTCTATGTTCGAAGAGGCGATGGAGTTCTTGGATAGGATGCGGGCGGATTCTTGTTTCCCGAATGTGGTTACGTATAGGATTTTGCTATGTGGGTGTTTGAATAAAGGGAAGTTAGGTAGGTGTAAGAGAATTTTGAGTATGATGATTGTCGAAGGTTGTTATCCTAGTCCGAAGATATTTTGTTCTCTTGTTCATGCTTATTGCAAATCGGGGGATCATTCGTACGCGTATAAGTTGTTGAAGAAGATGGTGGATTGTGGTCTTAAGCCTGGTTATGTAGTGTATAATATAATAATTGGAAGTATTTGTGGCAATGAGGAACAGCTTCCGAGTCCCGATTTGTTGGAATTAGCCGAAAACTCTTACAGCGAGATGGTTGATTCGAAAATAGCGTTGAATAGAGTTAATGTTAGTAATTTTACGAGGTGTCTTTGTGGGGCTGGTAAGTACGAGAAAGCATTTAATGTGATTCGTGAAATGATGGAAAACGGGTTTATTCCAGAACCTGGTACGTACAACAAAGTGATTGGTTTCTTGTGTGATGCTTCGAAAGTGGAAAAAGCGCTTTTATTGTTCCAAGAAATGAAAAAGAATGGGGTTGTGCCGAATGTGTACACTTACTCGATTTTGATAGATAGGTTTTGTAAAGCTGGGCTTCTTAATCAGGCTCGTTCTTGGTTCGATGAAATGATGAGAGATGGATGTGCTCCGAATGTGGTCACGTATACTGCGATTATACATGCTTATCTCAAGGCAAGAAAAATAACCGATGCTAATAAGATTTTCGAGATGATGTTGTCTCAAAATTGCCCTCCAAATGTCGTCACGTTTACTGCTTTGATCGATGGATACTGCAAAGCGGGTGATATTGAAAAGGCATGCGCGATTTACGAGAAAATGAGAGGAAATACGAACACACACGATGTGGATATTTATTTCAGAATATCTTGTGATGATGATGATGATAATGGTAATAATAAAGAGCCGAATGTGATTACGTACGGTGCTTTGGTTGATGGATTATGCAAAGTGCATAGAGTCAGAGAGGCCCGGAACCTTCTAGAAGCAATGACAGAAAAAGGATGCGAGCCGAATCATGTTGTTTACGATGCTTTAATCGACGGATTGTGCAAGGTTGGAAAGCTGGACGAAGCACAGGAAGTGTTTGCTAAAATGTCTGAGAGAGGGTACAGTCCGAATGTTTATACTTACAGCTCGTTAATCGACAGGTTGTTTAAAGATAAAAGACTCGATCTTGCTCTAAAAGTGTTGGCTAAGATGCTGGAATATTCCTGCCCGCCTAATGTTGTTATTTATACGGAGATGGTTGATGGGCTTTGTAAAGTTGGGAAAACGAGCGAAGCATATAAGCTTATGTTGATGATGGAAGAAAAGGGTTGTAACCCTAATGTTGTAACATATACTGCTATGATAGATGGATTTGGAAAAACGGGAAAAGTGGATAAGAGCATCGAACTTTTCGAGGAGATGATTACCAAAGGGTGTGCGCCTAATTTTATTACGTATAGAGTCTTGATAAATCATTGCTGTAATAACGGGCGATTGGACGAGGCTTATGGGTTTTTGGAGGAGATGAAGCAAACTCATTGGCCGACTCATTTGGCGAACTATAAAAAAGTAGTCGAAGGGTTCAGCAAGGAGTTTATATCGAGTCTTGAATTAGTCGGTGAAATGGGTGAAAATGATTCGGTGCCGTTTGTTTCGGTTTACAAGGTTTTGATCGATAGTTTTCAGAGGGCTGGAAATTTGGACAAGGCTTTGGCGCTGTATAAAGAGTTTTCGTCGCTGTCGCTAGCTTCGTCCAGTGACAAGAAAGTGTGTTGTTCTTTAATTGAGAGCCTTTCGGCTTCGGGCAGAATCGACGAGGCGTTTGAGTTGTATTCGGAAATTGTCGGGAAAGGTGAAGTTCTTGAGTTTGGTGTGTTTGTTGATTTGATTAAAGGGCTTTTAAAAGTTGGTAGATGGGAAGATGCGTTTGTGCTTTCGGAAAGATTATGTTACATGGTATGCAAATCGAGCATCTTCTCTCCCTCTCTTATATTAACGTGTATTCTCGTGATTTATGTTTGGTTCAGCGATTCTTATTCTGCAAGATACATGTTTAACTCGATAACTAGAACTTGATGGAAATCAGCTCGATTATTTCTACTCTGTTTATTATGTAGAAAATGAGATTCCGGGAAGTTTATTTATTATGTTACATTGCTTCTAGAGTTGCTAATTTAATATATATTCATCGTCTGATTTGTACTGTATGCTTTGTTTATTAACTAACAGGATATCCAGTGGTTATCAAATGAATATACACCAGAGAAAAGCTAGAGCGGGTTTTTACGTTTTTGTCCTCAGTCGACAATTTGGATCACGGAGCCTTGTTAGTCGTTGCATTTGTCCCACATCGTCAATTTGTTGGGATTTTTACTGTGCTTTTATGGAGATGCACAAATATTGTAACTGCGTCAGTATTTGTCCAATCCAGGTTCAAATTTGAAATTCGGCTTTTCTACGTCTTCTTTTTTTTTATTCAAACAAATAGCAATTTATCGATCGATAAATCCTAATTATACATTAATCACATTTAATACTTATGTTTTTATTTTTATCTTTGCAGGTATAGTAATTTAAATGGACAATTTATGCCTCCTTCTCAGTCAACAAATGATGTTGTTCGTATTAGGGTGAATTTTTTGCTAGCTGGAGATAAATCGAGAAAGCTTGAAGGTAAATCCAGATTCTTATTATTATATATTTTTTTTAAAGAATTTATTGATATTAGTAAATAGTTTATCGATATTTGCAGATTTAATGATGAGCATAATTGCTTGAAGGCAAAAAACGGGCAAAAAAGAATGCCGAGTGCAGATGATTAAAATGGTTATGTGGAAGCTATAATATAAAAAAAATGACAGTGAATAAAACAGCCAACAAGATGCTGAAATGATTGCTAAGAAGAACCTCACGAGTTTGCTCGATTTCTGAAGTTATCCTGCGTGTGATGGTACTGCAGTCATTTGGTGAAGATCATGTCTCGACCAATCATAGCCCATGCAAGGAAGTAAGATATATACATATATATTATTTTCGGTTTTTTTTTTTTTCTTTTCTTTTTTTGTGCACAGGATTCGCGAGACTGAATCAAATCAATTATTTGTCATTAATTCAGGTAAAGTTCGACCGGAGCTTGTAGAAGAAGTATGTATAAATCAATTAAATCAATTATTTGTCATTATTTTTTTGTATGTGATTTATAACTATGAAGATGAGTGCAAGAATAATTACGATAGTGATGATGATGATGATAATGATATTTTTCGAGTTTACGTTCGATATAATTCCAATTTTTTATTTTTTAATAAATATTATTATTATTATTATCCCTTATTAAGAATGGTGTGCTTTTGTAATGGATTCTTATTCTTGTCTAGAATAAGTCAGCCTGCTGATATATTTTTATCAGAACTCATTTTATTGTGTGTGCTCCGGTTGGCAAATTCGAATTGATTGATGCTTGTTCGATTTCGTGCTCTACTTGCATAGTGGAATTAATGTCTCGTTTGGCTAAGGCTACTTTAAACAGTTGATAATCTGTTACATTGATTAGCTGTTTAAAGAATTGATAAGTTGTTACATTAAGATTTTGTATGGAGAAGCTTCTAAGCTATTTTAATTTAAGTTTATTCTATGCTAAATTTGGTAAAGTTTACAATGGGTGAAATTTATGAACAATGTGCAATTGTTGACTTGTTAAAGTAGATAGATATTTACAAAGTTTTATTCTTTAATGAATATTATTTTAGAGCTAGAATAATAGATTATAGATTTAATTAGAGTGTACACAAAAGTAAACAACACACAATATTTGACACGTGTCTTTTGTTTTTGACTTTATAAAATTTTGAAATAAACTTCCCTGTAAAGTGTAAAGAGATCAATTCTTTTTATTAATAAAATTCTCGTAATTTATTTACTACACGAAAAAAAAATACAAAATTTAATTCTAAATTTTGAAAATTAAATAAAAAAAAAAGAAAAAAGAAAAGGTAGCAGAGTTTGATTGTAACAGAACACTTGTTTAAACCTAAAGAGACAATCTTTATTATTGTTATTCCCAAATTCTTTCGCCAATACATATACATACAGACTCCAAAAGCATCTCGCAATTTGCCCCAGCCTCTCATTATTATTCACAAATATATATATACATACAGTGTATCTAATTCGAGTTCTCGTCAGGGTGGATAATTCGCTTCGGCTTCAGCTTCAGTGAAGAAAACAAGGGTTTTGCTTCACCCTGTTTCCGACTGAACTTTTGCTTGTATTATTTATATATATATATATATATATATATATAGAGAGAGAGAGAGAGAGAGAGAGAGAGAGAGAGAGATTAAAAAAAGATGGTAAATTGGGAGAAATTTGGGAAAAGCACATTGGTTGCACTTGCTTTGGGACAAATTCTCTCTCTTCTCATCACTTCCACTGGCTTTTCTTCTTCTCAACTCGCCAAGAAAGGTTTTTTCTTTTTTTTTTTTTTTTTTAATTTTTTAATTTTCTTTTTTGGTGTCAAATTATATACAATTGACATATATTCATATAAAATTGGTGTATGTTTTCATATTTTTAACCTGATCTTATCATATATATAATTTTTTTCTGTCAACTTTAGGGATTAATGCACCAACTTCTCAATCTTTCTTGAATTATGTACTGTTGGCATTGGTGTATGGAAGCATTATGCTTTACAGAAGAAAGCCCCTCAAGGTAACATATATTTTTTGTTTGTTCGTGTTTGGTCTCTTCGATTACTATTTTCATTTTTACGTTTCGTCAGCCTAATTAATGATGCGCTCTTGCTTTTCGTTTTGGTATTTCGTATAAAGATTCTCCGGATTTTATAGAGTTTATTATGTATCACTAAGTTGTGCTTGATCATCCACATTGATTCAACTCACTCGAAAATTAAATAATTTAAAGATTCAAATTTGCCCCTCGTTCCCGTAGTAGCCTTCGAAAAAAAAATTGAATTTAATCCTTGTTATTGTGAATCGTATGATTTTATTGGCTGCCTCGTTTATCTTTATCATGTTTTGTTTTTGTACATCGACTAAATCCCTCATGATTCAACGCTTCTTCGTCTCAGGCCAAATGGTACTACTACGCCTTGTTGGGATTGGTTGATGTTGAAGCCAATTTTCTCGGTAAGTTTACCACACTACACATACGATCTTCTCTTTTTGGCAATTCTATTTATTTTCTCGGTAAATAAAGCTGGAATTTTTATTTATTTGTCCTTATAATAAGTAGTATATATAGAGGCTAATTAAATTTTTGAATTGGCAGTTGTTAAGGCTTACCAATACACATCAATTACGAGCGTGATGCTGCTCGATTGTTGGACGATACCATGTGCCCTGTTTCTCACGTGGTTCTTTCTGAAGACAAAGTACCGATGGAAGAAATTGCTCGGTGTTGTCATTTGTGTTGCTGGTCTTGTAACTGTCGTTTTCTCCGATGTACATTCTGCAGATCGTTCGAGTAAGTATATTATCATTATCTGATTTAACTAATTTTCTTTTCATTAATCCAACGAAATTACTCTCGCATGTATATTTCTGCTGTTATTACTTTACAAACACTCATGAAATCAAGAAAATCAAGAAACGTAACCTTGATGAATTGAAATCCATTTTTCGAAAAAAAATTTACGATTGTGAAAAATGCAGTTTAATTTCTTATGTTCGTATTCGGTGTTTCCGGTTTTCGGTTTCTCAATTTATTGCTGTGATTGTTGTTATAGGTGGTACGAACCCTCTTAAAGGCGATCTGCTAATAATCGCCGGGGCCACACTTTACGGTGTAAGTAACGTCAGTGAGGTACGTGTCTTATATTTAACTTTAATTTCTTTTTAGTCCCCGTATGCGAGTATTATTTCTCGATCAAATGAAACAACCAACGAAACTAATCCTTGTGTTTTGGGTTCTTCTATGCAGGAATTTTTTGTTAAAAATGCCGATCGGGTCGAACTTATGGCTTTCTTGGGCTTGTTTGGCGCCATTGTCAGTGTTATTCAAATGTATGCATAGTTTATTCACATCACGCTGTAAATTGCATACATATTATATACACTTGATTTCTATTCGGTACTTTAGATTTTCAATTTCTTTATCGATTTACGTTTTGCAGAAGCATACTTGAACGTAATGAACTCAAGAACATTCACTGGTCCGCCGGAGCTGTAAGTCTACATATCCCACCCACCCCACCCCCACCCCCCAACCCCCAAAAAAAAAAAAAGAAAATTCTTGACGAGGACTATGTCAAACTTGAGTTAATATCGTTCCTCGTTTTCTGTGACAGGCATTTCCTTTCTTCGGATTCTCACTAGCCATGTTTCTGTTTTACTCGGGGGTTCCCGTTTTACTAAAGGTACATCTTTCACTTATGTATTTATTTATTTGATGGATCAAAATTCATTTTATTGAATGAAATTCCGATGCAGATAAGCGGAGCAACAATGCTGAATCTCTCGTTGCTCACCTCGGATATGTGGGCCGTCTTAATTCGGATCTTCGCGTACCATGAAAAGGTACGAAACAAATCAGAATCCAAACAAAATTGATGTTCCGTTTTCTATTCTATGCGATTCCGAGTATCTAATTTCGAGGTTAATTTTTTCTGCAGGTTGATTGGATGTATTTTGTAGCGTTTGCTGCTGTCGTGGTCGGGCTTATCGTTTATTCATGGTATAAAAGCACTCTATTATTTCCATTTTATATTTTCTCGTTTTTTCGTTATTTGCATATAGTAAAAAAAGTATTTTCACAAAATTACAGGCGCGATAAAAAAGACGAAAAAGATGCCGAGGCTGAAGAAGAGGCGGGTTTAGGCCAATCGGAACGAAAAAATCAAGTATTGAGGAGCAGTGTTTAAGAGAAGAAACTACTACACATACTTTTTACCTTAGTAAATTTTTGCAGGATTAGGACAAAACTTTGTTTTGCATGCTTTGATTTGAGTTAGAGAATAATTATTAAGTGTTTACCATTAATTAATTACCATTAAGCAAAAAGAAAAATAATCCAATTATGAAATTGCTTCTTTCAATCTTTACACCTTCCTTTTTTTCTAGAGATTTTTTTTTCTTTTGCTTTGACATCTTCTCACTCAACCCCTTTGATTAAATTCAATAAGAAATTAAAGGGATAATTACAATTATGGTCCCTATATTATACACTTTTTTTCATTTTGGTCCTTCAATTTTTTATGTCACGAAATTGGTCCTACAAAATAACCAGTAGTTCTACACTTTTCGTCCGCCGTTTGATATTGTTGTTAGTTTGGACGGAAGAAATCATGTGTGAAAATTAAGGATAGTATGAATGCTACTTTTAATTTCAATTAAAGTCCTTAGATTTAGGTCTTAATTTGGGTTTCGGGTTTTGGATTTTCGGGCTCCGCCATCTCACCTCTAGAGTCAACTAATTTATAACTCAGTCAAAGGTTAAAAATGATAGTTTTTGTATGCAAGTTTTTATCTAGACTTTATTGGAATTAAAATTCCATGAAAGCAAACAGAATAATGGTCAAAATATAATATCTTAAATTGCATCAAATTGAAGTAATTCTTAAAATATTGGGGTTGACTAGCAAAGTCTTGGAAAATAAAGAGGGTAAATGCATTTTTTTTTCAGGATAACAAAGAAAAATGGAAAATTACACATAGATCCCCCGAGGGGGTTTAGGTGTAATATTTCAAACATGAGGGGGTTTAGGTGTAGTTGTTCAAACATGAGTGGGTCTAGTTGTAGTTTGACCTAACCTCAGTGGATGTAGATGTAATTAAAAAGAAAACGTCGGAATAATACAGTGAGTTGAACTCGAATTTTCAACTCGGCGGACTTTTAGTTTCTTCTGATCTCTCGATTTCGAAAGGTAAGAGTTCTTATCAGAACGGAAGATGAATTATTTGATTTTCTCTTCGCTTGATTTTGACGCAGTTTTTGTTTAAATTTAGTGGCTGTTCTGAAATTAGGAACTGATGAGCATGATTCAGGTTTTCAATTTTTGTTTTTGGGTGAAGATGAATTACTTGAATTTCTCTCTCTAGAAATTTACGAGTAGTCATGCTTGAATTTCCCCCGGTTTTTATGTTTGATTTCGGAATGATGATCGGGGTGGAGTTATTTGAATGAATTTGTGTATCTCTTCGCCGAATTAACGAAGAATGATTAAGGAAGGTGAATTGATAGGAAAAATGAAAAAAATGGGTTGGGAGAGTGAAGTAATTGGAAAAATAAAGCAGAAATGGTTTCGATTGCAGAATAGTTTCGGTTTTTATGGAGTATTAGTCGTCTAATTTATGAAATTTAATGTCACGTGTGTTTCGTATTTTGATCTACGAAGGGAATGAGAGAGACCGTGTGTTTCAAATACGATTTCAATGTTCAAGGGCTGGGTCAAATCCATGCCATGACTATATATAATCGGAAAAATGTTCGCATTTGTACGTATGTTACTGTTATGTTAGTGTCGTCATATCATCATATGCTATTATATATGTATGTACGTATCTATATATCTATGTGGGCATCTCTATGTAATTTGTAATTTGTGGTTCGGAATGTCGGAAGTTTTCGTGTGTGGATCTATCAGGAGATGATTCGGTCTTTGTTCTCTTGTTTGTCTGTGTTTTCGTTTCTGTCTAAGAACCTCTCTTCTGTTTATTCTAGCTGATTTACTGGTCTGTTGATTACTTACGACTAATACATTTTTCGTGTGTTGTGTGTAGATGGAGCAGTCTCTTTCCTCTCTTGCATTTAAAGGTTCTATTTTGGAAGCAATTACTGAAGCAAAAAGAGAGAAGAAACTTTTTGTCGTCTATAATGCAGGTAAGTGCTTTTACATGAATTTTGCTTTCAAATTCACTATCTAAACTTGTCAATATGGAACTTTAGGAGAAAAAAATGGCGCCATATTATTAATCTATGTGACTAGGGGATTTATTTTTGTGGTAATGACTAATGACCTTGAATTAAAGTTGGATAAATGAACACCGATGAAGTTTCTTAAATATCTCTTTTTTCGTGGCAAATTATGTTTCTCAGCGTATGTGACGAGAAGGGATTGATAGTTTGGAAATCATTGAATACTTTTTTCATACTCTCTATGTGTCTTGCGCTCACATGCTTGGATTTTGGATTTACTCACTGAAAAGATTATGGCTTTAGTTTATGGTGTTTTTATGTATAATTTGTTAAGGCATTATCTGTTTTCTGTTACACTGAGTTTCCAGAACATTTATCAAATTCCTGTAGCTTTGAGTCACAAAAAAAAAAGAAGAGGATGATTTCCTATTTTGAAAATATTATTTTTCTGTACCAGGTGACAATCCAGACTCAAAACTGTTAGAAACATCCACATGGACTGATCCAAGTGTAGGTTTTTCTTATCTCTGTTATGCACAAAACGACACCGTTTTCTGCTAATAATTATGTGGAATCAAAAATTAATTTTCTCCTGTTACTATTCTTATATCTTGTACCAGGTTTCTGAGACATTGTCAAAGTACTGCGTTCTGTTACATATATTGGAAGGAAGTTCCGAAGCGTCGAATTTTTCGGCAATATGTATCCTTCTTTGAAGCTACCTTCTAATAACACATAATTTACCTTTTCAATTTCATTGCTATCCTGACACATTCAGTTATGCCAGTTGTTTGAAAAGGGAGTTTTTTTGTTCATGTCATAATAGTAGAGTGTATTTATATCCTTGTGTAAACTGCTAATACTACCAAGTATAGTGGCTGGAAGCTCTGAAACTTGGAGGCTATGTTACCTTTGTTTGGCTTAAAAGTTTAATATGCGTAGGAATCAAACTAATGGCTGTCTACAGGCATGTTCGTATATGCTTGTTTCTGGGAATTTGTGTACACTATTTTATAGCTTCTGGCGTATGGAGTCTGATTTTTTTAAGCACTTTTTTAACATTTCGTCACTGGTTAATTGAAAGCTGGATTTAGATAGGGAAAGGTGAAGATCCGAGCACTCTATTGAAGTGAATGCAGTTATATTTAGTGCTTGGTTAACTTGTGTTGAACGAATTAGGTTTGAGCACTAAATAGTGGAAATAGAAACTTTTTGTTTCCTTGCATCAAGCTCTGCAGATCCACAGCAATCTGCCCCTTGTATAACTGCTATCGGATACAATGGCGTGCAACTTTGGCAAAAAGGTACGTTTTCTACAGCAGTTTTCTGAAGCGGCTGTTGTGGTAAGAACATTTGATTTTTTTTTTCTCATTTTTTTTTTCTGATTGAATTTTTTTAGATGGTTTTGTCAGTGCCGATGTTCTTGCTTCCAGTCTTGAGAAGGCGTGGTTAAGTCTTCATGTTCAGGTGGGTTAAGCTGGTGTTTACGATACTCATTATAGAATTCTCTTAGTCTTGCATCCTTTTTAAACAGTCCCCTATTTTCATAAGTGCCCGTTCCGATGTCACAATGGACTTCTTGAACATTTATTATCAAGTGAATTAGTGTTTTTAACTGGCACATTACGTGTTGATCAGTGTACGTCAGTTTCTGATTGCTATGGGGAGTATGTACATCAAGTTGGTTTGTTTTGATGTGAGATAAATTGGTCCTCTACCAAATTCCGTAATTTCCATAAAATCCTCAATTCTTTTATCGACATTATCATTGTACCCACTATCATTACCACGGGAAAACGTCTTGTTGATTATGTGGGTGTCCGTTTTGTTTAATTTTAACAAGGGGTTTCGTAATATTCAAATAATCGACTCTTATCATAAAGTGAATAACATAAAGGGATGATTTTCCATCTCTTTACATTCATCGAGTGTGAATCGTCAGCTGAATAATTTTTGGTATTTGAGCCAAACACACACTGAATGTTTTTGGTTCAGGATACAACTGCAGCTTTCCTGACTGCTGCACTTGCTTCTGGAAAACACCTTGCTTCCGGAACTTCTGAGGCTGAAACATCCGAGCAAGTTACACCAGGGGCACATGTCTCAACACCACTGTCAGATGATCCTATCGTATCCGTGGATGCTGAACAACCATTACATTCGGATAATATAGAAGATAGGAGCAATTATGAAGATGCTTTTAAGGTCACTCGATTTGGCTTTGCCTTTGATTATTATTTCTGCCAACTGTATTTTGCTCGCTCTAAATTGTATCGATGTTTCTTTCATGCACAGGAGACTGATTCCAAGAAGGATGACGTGGCTATTCCTGAACCATCTCGTGCGACTACGTCGGACAATGATGGACTTGATGAGTCTATTTCCAAAATTGAAACAGGAAATACGTCACAAGACACTGCTGAGATAGTTCATAAAAACCCCAAAGTTGCAAATCTTGACACAGGAAAAAATGTCGACTTCCATGATAATAATTCGGGTAGTAGCAACGTAGGTTCTAGAGAGATTGTCAATGAAGCCAGTGCAGTGGTGCATGTTAATACAGTGGCTGCTGCAGAAGTTGAGAAAACCGATGCTTCAGATTCCTCTGCCATTAAATCAAATGATGTTTTCCTAAATATTAGACTTCCTGATGGATCTAGCTTACAAGTCAAGTTTTTGGTGACGGACACCTTGAAAATGGTCAAAGATTATATACACGAAAACCAGACCAGCGGCTTGCGCTCTTTCAGTATAGCAATTCCTTACCCTCGCAAGGTTTTCAACGACCAAGGTATGCTGCTCTGATTACTAGGTTTTTTTATAATTGATTCTGGTCTTGATTGATATATAACTTTGCCATATCAAGTTGGGCAGTTACGTATTGAAGGGGATTTTTCATGACGGATAAACATCATTTTCATGTGTTCTTAAATTATGTTCTCTCGTTTCAGTGAAGCATTCTTGATTTCTTTTCAGCAATCCTTTGTCATGTACAACTGTTGATACTCTTGAATATTTTCCTTCACAGATTTGAACAGCACACTATCAGAATTGGGTTTCTTCAAAAGGCAGGCATTGGTTGTGGTTCCACACAACAAAGGAGGATCTTCACAGCCTCAAACTTATTCCTCAACCGATACCGCCTCTTCGAATGCAAGTGAAGGATATTGGGCATCCGTGAGAAGAATTCTATCTTACGCGAACCCTTTTTCTTATCTTGGCAGAGGCGCCAGCTCACCAAGCGCTTCCCCCGAGCCCCAAAGTGGCCTATGGCAATATAGTAAGTCACCTCAATTTTCTTCCCGAAAAATGACAAGTTGAATAATTATTTTTCTGTATGTTTGTCTGATCAGAAGATGTTGATTATGTTCTATATTTTGTGACAGGCCCAAATCCTTCACTTCAAAATAACCTTAGGGATGGAGGTGGGCCCAGCCCAGCAATTCCGTCCGAGCAAAGTGGGCCCGGCACGAGTGGCGAAAACAGCAGGAAGAGGCAGCAAAGTGCTCGTTTTGGGGGAAACATCCACACGTTAAAACACGATGAGGAAGATGATAGTCGGTTCAATGACAGAAACGCCTTTTGGAATGGGAATTCTACGCAGTATGGTGGTGGTGGTGATAATAATAATAATGATGGGAAGTAAGTTTCGGTTTTTCGACTTTTGGTTACTATGTAGGAAGGATTTGATACAATCCGAGGCACAACTCTACTTTGTTTATAAACTGGGAAATGTTAAGAAATCATAATAATGGATATATATTTTTATACCTCTATATATATATATGTGGGTCATCAAGTTTTTCTTGTTCTTGATTTAGAACCCTAATACTGCACCATTACATTCACAGTTATGATGTACAAGTTATTTGCTTTGTAGTTGATAGTTACTATTTGTGATTATCTTTGTTATCCAAAAACATTTTTGTTAGTTCGATTTTATTTTTTTGTTAATGAAGGAACCCGCAGCCAACTATATAGGTGTACTGGGTAAACCTACAATCTCGTATAATAGCTTGCAAATCATTCGAGAGACATAAACCACACTAGGCTGATCATGTGTGACAAACTCGACCCAACGCTAACCATATAGGTGCACTGGGTAAACCTACAATCTCGTATAATAACTTGCAAATCATACGACGAGAGACGTAAACCACACTAGGCTGATCATGTGTGACAAACTCGATCCAGCGATAGTCGACAAGGGAATTCGAACGTGAGTCAATTAACATTGGCTCACTTGCTTCAACCGCTAGGTCATCTCTTGTGGAACGAGCTCGACTCATTTATAATATCTATAATGTGAAATAACTATGAAATTTCAGGCAGTTAATATGAGTAGTCAAATTTATGTAAGAATATATTCTATGCTTAAAGATAAGGTTTGGAAAGCTAAAAGTAAGTTTAAATGTCTAAAATTCAAAGAATTAAAATTTAGTTAATTGAAATGTGGTAATCAATTTTCTTAGTTTTAGAAAAAAAAAAAAACAGATATTTTTAATTGATTTAAATCAATAATTTACAGTTAAACTTGAAATTGTTAAGCAAAAACATATATTAACGGTGTCGTTTCGATGCTCTGAAAAGTTGGCAATGGAGTGTGAAAGTGCATACTGTGGATCTTAACAAGTTCTTCCAACTATTTTCCCCCCCAATTCCCCTCAATTGGTGTGCCCTAATGAATCAATTCGATACCGAATTCTGATCTTCAATTTGGTATTCGGGGCTGTACATAAATTCTAATAATGGCGAAGCATTCGACGACGTCGTTAGTTCCAGTCCAGAAGAGATGGCCGTTGATGGTATTACTCTGCATCGCCTTCTCCACCGCCATTGCCTTCTTCATCGGAGCTTCGTTCAGTTCCTGCAATTCACACGATTACTCCGACACCAAGAACAATTTCAACACTCCGATTCACTCGTCCGCCTTAGACGGCGGCGCTGTTGAGAAAGAAAAAAATCCCCTCAGTTTCATGAAATCGAAGCTTGTTCTGTTGGTCTCTCACGAACTTTCTCTCTCCGGTACTTTTTTTTTTTTTTTTTTTTTAAGTTTTTTGTGATAGAAAAGTATGATCGATTAATTGGTCAGAACTGTTGCTGCATTTCACTGTATATTTGCTTCAGTTAACAAAAGTGAATATGAGGCAGTAAATGTATAGTTTGATTTATTAGACATATTATTATCTTCCAGAACTGTATTATACACTATACATCGCCGATCATTGTCGGGAATTGCTTAGAGAAAATCAAAAGCTAAAATCTCTATACAAGATAGAATGATAGTTTCATTTTTGAACAAATTTTCATAGGTGGACCTTTACTCTTAATGGAGCTTGCCTTTTTGTTAAGAGCTGTTAGCGCTCGAGTAGTCTGGATCACCAATCAGAAGCCCTCTGAACGCGATGAAGTGGTTTATAGTTTGGAACAAAGGATGATGGACAGAGGAGTGGAGGTACACATGGAGTTCATATCTTGTGATTTGGCTAATTAGCCATTATTCTTTAACATCATTTGCCACTATTGCATCAGAATTATTATAGTTAAGTTTGTTATTTATTGCAGGTTATGCCTGCAAAGGGCCAGGAAGTTGTTGATACGGCTCTTAAAGCCGATCTAGTCATTTTGAATACAGCTGTGGCTGGCAAGTGGCTGGATGCTGTGCTCCAAGAAAACGTGGCTCGTGTACTCCCCAAGGTTTTGTGGTGGATTCATGAAATGAGGGGACATTACTTTAAACTGGAGTATGTGAAGCACCTCCCTTTTGTTGCAGGTGCCATGATTGATTCACACACTACTGCTGAATACTGGAAGGATAGGACTCATGAGCGATTAGGGTATGCTACTTCTTATGATTCTGTTTGGTTCGATACTAATTTGAGCATATTATAGCCAACTTTACAAGCATGAGTGTTCATAATATATTTATAACTAACTTTTCAGCAGAATTTTTTTTCTTTTCTCTTCTTCAATATATTTATAACTGAAGTGATTTATTAAAGCACTGATAAGTGCTCTACTTTTAACTTTTATTGGCGTACAAGTCCAGCATTTTTTTTTTAATTTTTGTTCTGGACTTGTTTTCGTTTTCCCTCATCTACATGTGAATGAAGGTTATGCATGTGTGTACCATGCATGGTATATGAACCTTAAACAAGTTGAAAGTAGATCATATAGCTGCACATGTGGAGGCCAAATTTTGCTTTGCACTGTCAATGAACCCTTCTAACATTTTCCAGGCCTAATATGTCAAATTCGTGAATGCATTTGAAATTTGGGTGATCTTCTCGTGTTATCTTAGAGAAAGCAATAGTATGTTCACTTTCCATGCATGTTTAATCAACTAGAATTCACAATGAGTCGAGAATCAACCACTCACCATGCTAGTAAGATGATATAAACTTGAACCATGATAAATTGGACATGAATAGAACTCGCATTTTCGTAGAGCACATTAGTCTTATGTGGTCTCTGGCTCATCATAGTTTGTCTATCTGTAATACATAATGACTTACCAGCTTCCCGTTTAAATTGACTGAACACTTATGTTCCACCCCTTTACCAATGTAATGTTTCCAAGAACTTCTTATGTGTCTCTTTGGGTTCTTATTTTCTAATTTCTCCTTGTAGGCATAATAAGAGATTATATTGCCCTTCACTTCCAATGGTGCAGGATTCAGATGCCTGAGACCTTTGTTGTGCACCTTGGCAATAGCAAAGATTTGATGGAAGTAGCTGAAGACAGTGTGGCGAGAAGGGTCCTGAGAGAGCATATTAGGGAATCGCTCGGAGTACGCAAAGATGATCTTCTATTCGCCATTATCAACAGTACGCCCGACTAAAATTGAAATAGTATTTTTTTCCTTAGCCATTTGTTTTCCATGCTTTATACAACTGCTTTTTTTCTTCCACAATGTGGACACGAACTTCTTGTGGGTAGTGTGGTGACTGGACAAAAAATAAATCGCTAGTCCTTCTCTACAGTTTGCTATCAGCTGTTATTCTAAGAATCAATTTTGTTCTATCTTATGATTCATAAAGATTTAAGAGGAACTTTGAGGAAGGAACTTTAGAATGTCTTCAGAAAAGAAATTATAGCAACCATAAAAGTAGATTATGCCTGTGCCTCATTAAAGAAGTCTCCACCAGTGGTAGAGTCCTGCTTCTCAAATCTGAAGACAAATTTACTGCTGAACTTTTTTCAGTTTTTATGTGAAGGAACAACTGTGTGTGTTTCTCTACTTTACGCTCGTATTAGCTTACACATAATAATTCTCACATCTTATCAAGTAATGGCATTTTTTATGACGACCTGTATTACATATTAGTCGATAAGACAAGTTAACTCTGAACGCAGTATATTGCCTCTGTAAGTAATTGCAATATGCTAGTTGTTGTTGCATTGTCTAGACAATTTCTTAGCTATCCATGTTCCATGGCTGTAGGTGTTTCTCGAGGGAAAGGTCAGGATCTATTTCTCAAAGCTTTCTATGAAGCGCTGCAATTCAGCCAAGTGAGGAAACTGAAAGTGCCACCCATGCGTGCAATTGTAGTGGGAAGTGACATGGGTGCCCAAACTAAATTTGAAACAGAATTACGAAACTTTGTTGCTGAGAAGAAAATTCAGGACAGTGTGCAGTTTGTGAACAAAACATTGAATGTTGCTCCTTATCTGGCTTCCATTGATGTTCTTGTCCAAAACTCTCAGGTACTTTTGTGCAATGGGCATAATGGAACTTGTTTAAACACTCCTTTCTTTCTTGATGTTATGGGTATAAACTGCTGTTATTAATTATCGCCTACCGGCTTTAGAATCAATATTTTGCTTGGTGTTAAGAAAAATGATCCACATGCGTGTATAATGAGATTGATTTCTGTACATTTAACTGAAGAGAGGCTAACAATTTGTTAAATGTAGGCGCGTGGAGAGTGCTTTGGAAGGATAACAATTGAAGCTATGGCTTTTCAGCTACCCGTATTGGTGAGATTTGTAATCTTGTTGTTCTTGATTGCATTACAAACTTCTGGCTATCTTTGAGTTCATCTATCACTTGTAGAATTTAGTACGCACTTTCGTATCTTAGAAAATGTACCTGCTATTGTCAAGAAAAGAATTTTTTATTGCCTTTGGAACTGTGCGCGTGGTTAGTGTTTGATGCGTGACATGACGATCTTGTCTTATGAATTGACCTCATAAAATGTTGTCCTAATGATTATTTGTGATTTTAATTCCAGATGCAAAAAAATATGAAGTTAATTGTCTTTTCGTGAATGAGATTCCAGTTTTTCATTATCCCGTAAAAACACATCACTGACTCCGTCTTAACATTGCAGGGCACTGCAGCTGGAGGTACAGTAGAGATTGTAGTAAACGGCACCACGGGTTGGCTGCATCCAGCTGGCAAAGAGGGTATAACACCTCTTGCAGAGAACATCATTCGACTCGCCACAAACATAGAGATGAGAAAGACTATGGGACAAAAAGGTTACACTAGGGTCAAAGATATGTTCTTGGAACAACATATGTCTCATCGAATCTCCTTGGTTCTTAAGAAAGTTCTCCAAAAGGCAAAGAGAGAGGTTCGTCGTTGAGACACCAAATGCACGAATTGAGGTATTAGCAAAAACATTTCTCTTTTCACTTTGTAGTTTGCTTTTTTGTCTAGTCGATTTTTGTGTGGAGTGGTTCTCGAGTATATCGTATGATAAAAAGATTGTCGAACATGAAATTAGTCATCATAAAGAGTTTGAAGGTGAATCGGTTAGTGTGAACTAAAGACGAAACTTATGATGCTTAGGGTAGATTTAGGAATTTCGTGAGACGAAACGTATTCGATCACATTGCACCAAATTGGATATCAACTTATTAAAAAAAATAGCTGTTAAAGGGGTTAATTAATGCTTAAGAATGATGTCATGGATATAATATATCACTATCACACTACTATTAAGTATTAAGTGAAAGCTGCAATCCAATGGCCTTTTTTAGGATCTTATGTTTTTACACGTCTCATAAAACTTTGGTCCTCATGCCTACTACATGTTCACCTAATTGAACCACTTTTTTTTTTTTTTTTTTTTTTTTATATATTGAGCAAGTATTATTATTATTATTAATACAACTTTTAATTGCATCATTAGAAAGCAGATTAAACCCACTTACTCTCCACTAAACAAGAAAAAAAGGATACAACTATCTCATTTTTGGTTGAGCTCTTTATACATTAATGGCTTCCCACGTGCATGCTTACATCATTCCATACTTGTTGGAAAATAAAGCTAAGTTTACCTCAAAGATCTTTTAATTGAAGAATAACTATATATATATATATATATATATATATATATATATATATATATATATATATATATATATATATATATATATATATATATATATATATATATATATATATATATATATATATATATATATATATATATATATATATATATATATATATATATATATATATATATATATATATATATATATATATATATGTATGTTGTATAAAACCCAATATGACTAGATTAAAGTCTTTGGTTGATAATCAAGCAATTTGCTTTGTAATGAATAAAACAAAAATGAATGTTTGATATGACATCTTCAAAGGCAAATACAAAAAAATGGAATCTTTTCTTGGTTCACCCGGTGAAATACACTAGGTGATTCTACATTGTAGGATATCAGGCGCTGCCAGTTGTCATAAAATATTCCTGCCGCGTCAGTTGCGCCGTAATTCATATGTTATTACAATATTACATCGTAATTATTTGATAAGAATGTACATTTGTAATTTAGTTTAATAAGTACATAACCGCAACCCTTAATACATTCTATCAAACATTATTACATATTCACTCAAATCATCATACCATAATTCATATTTAATTGGAATATTACATCCAATTCCTATCAAACCAGCACTATTCATCCATTTATTTCATATGCTAACAGCTAACTAATTGAAAGAAAACAATAAAAAAAAAAAAGTACAAATGGACAAAATAAATATGTAATTTCTAAAATCCGAGATTCCCGAATATAATCAATAATCAATAATAATCAATCATTTCAGCAGAGGCCATAATGGGGTGTTGTTGATTATCAGCAAATCCTTGATGCTGAAATCCCTCCGCCCCAAACACGCATCCTCCCACCGCGGCCGCCGCCGCCGCCTCCGCCGCGGCGGCGGCGGCGGAGCAGTGGATGAAATCAAGAATCTCGTTCAGAGAGTGGAGTCTCTGTGTGAGTTCCATCATCTGAGCCCTCAACACCGAGTTTGCAGCCTCAACACTCACACAGTGCTGTGCGGTGACGTTTACGCTGATCGAAATCTGATTATTCTCTTTGCTCATGCGAGAAATCTCGGCCGTCAGATCGTCCAAATGCTTCTGTTTTCTGACCCTCGATCGCCTCGCCGATTCCCTGTTGGATTCCATCCTCTTTCTCTTCCTCTGATCGGCCACCGGCCGGAGTAAATCCTCCTCCGCCGCACTTAAAGATTCCATTTTTATTCACCCAAAATCAATTATTATATCAAGATTATAGGATCTAAGTAGGCTATATAAACCTAAATTCGATGATTGAAAATTATTTTTTTATGAGAAAACGTAGAACCAGTAGAGGAACACGACGGAGAAAGATTGAACTAGATGGGTGCGGCGGCGGAGGGAGGAGTTGATCATAAAACCCGACCGGAGAATCTCACTGAGTACGGAAAACATGGATCTGATTGAGCATCAAACAAGAATATTCTGCAGCAGCATCAAGATTCTATCATAATATACGTATAGATATAACTAACTCAATAAAAAAATATATATATATTAAGGAATGTATAGAGAAGAAAGAAAAGAGAAGATGGAAGAGGTTCTTGATGAAGGGGAGTGGCATAATTTATAGAAGAAATGGGGTGGCAAGAAAATTAAATAAAGTACTAGGGACAGGAAATTAATTTTTTTTATTGTGTGGGAAAGTGAAAAAAGTTGCAAAAGTTAAGGGCTTCTTTATTAATCTTTATGTTTGTTTTATGCAACTTGCCGTTCAAATTGAATCGGAAAATATCCGCTTTTGGAATAATGTTTTTCGTTTCTAATTATGAAAGTTCACATTTCTTATTCGATTTATATTTTTGAGTTTCTACGCTGTGTCTGTCAGTACTCGATCCTATGATTTTGCACCAACTTACCATCCTCAGAATCAGTTGAGCTCATACGGTCATATCAATTTCCATTTCCGCCTCTTTCAATCCGGTTTTGTAAAAAAATCATTATAATTTTTGAAACTTAGATTTCTCTTAATTTTTTTTTTCCAATGTTCATTTTGGAATAGGATTGCAATTAGTTCTTCGGTTCTGAAAAAATGATTTTCTTTTTCTTATCGAAAGTGCGAATTCGATCTGATTTGTTCGATTTTCATCCCACATATACTATATGTATCCTTCCCAAACATTGCTCAATCACAATCCAACGGCTCATGAAATTTATTTGATGAAATCCATTCGAACAATCGTATAAATTTGTAGGTATTTTACACGCATTCATATGTATATTTATTAATAATTATTATGTAAAATGAAGATTAAAAATTATTTTGGATATATTTTATGTGATTATAGGGTTATAGCATCTACAATTCCAAACTTGGAATCTAGAGAGAGAGACATGTGGGATGGAGAAGCAATTCCATAAAAAAAATCCAACTACAGCTGTGTGGTGCAGAATATAGGGACACACGTCATCAATTTTTAAGGCTACATATGGAATGTTTTTTTTTTTTTTTTTTTTTAAAAAAATTTTTTTTTTGAAATTGGGTTATTGTTTTGAAAATGACTTGAAAATAAAGTAATGTTGTAAAATCCTGCATTTGTTGAAACTAAATAAAATTGGGTGGATTCTTTTAATAAAAAAAAGTTGCATTTGTTGAAACTGAAAATCAATAGGCCAAACTCGATTGAGACAAACGTATTAACTTTATAATTAAGGATTAATGATGAAGCTTAAAAAAATAATAGTACATCGACTATTGGTGAGCAGGTCGAACCCATCAATCTGTTAAACACGTTAAATTTGTGGAAAATTGTCTTGTTGAGCCAGACAGATACATCCATCAATATGATTGGGTATTATAAAACTTTGAATTTAATTACTTTTTTGAATGAATTTTGATTTATTGTTGACATTTTATCATTGATGTAATTCACATTGATTTTAATGTAAAATTTAACGCTTGGTCATTCGCTTTGTGTAAAAACTTATAAACTAATTAAAAATAAAACATGTTTCAAATATAACGGGTTCCGACCCGTAAATGTTGGATCATATTATAAATCCTTCATGAACTCTTATTCTAAGGTGGTGTTTGCAAATGATTATTTAAAAGCAGAAGTTAGTGATTGTGATTTAAGTTAGTTTTAAGTGCTTATTTCTAAAAGTTGAGGGTGTTTGCAAATATTTCGGAAAATGAACTAAAATTGAAAAAGCAGGGTTAGGGGTGCTTTTAAAAAAATAGCTTAAAACAGATTATTTTAAGAGAAGCAAAAGCAAAAGTTGATTTTACAAACACCTAAAAACAAATTATGAGCAAAAAAAACCGCATAATCACTTTCAAAAAGCATTTGCAAACACCACATAAATCCTTTGAAAACCCACAAGTTTGATTTTGTTAAATTAAGACCCAGTGTTCGACAGGACGATATTGAATTTTTCAAGAACCCGGAGATTTATGACCCGTGCGCAAACCCATATTCAAGACTTAAGATATAATTAAGGTTGGATTGATGTAATTTCTTTTAAGGATTTTGATTAGGACTTCCTTGAAAAAGGCCGAGTGCCCCAATGTTTGGGCCTTTAGTTATAGAGGCCCAAAAAACGTATAATAGACATTATTTAGTGGGCCAAATAATAGCTATTTAAAAGTAAATATTTCCCTTTTTCAGATCCTTGCTTATTTTATTTATTAATTTCATATTCAACTCTTAGGGCATCTTTGGTTTCTTGGAACCAGCTGGATTGACTGATTAATCCGGATGGATCTCGTATTAGGTATTGTGGACAGCTATCCGAGATTGATCCGTGGCCCGGTTTTCTATCCGCGAATCGTGTGATTTTTCATCCGGCCAGTAGAGGTCCGATTAGACAATCTGACTATAATTCAGATTCTTTTGCCATTACAATTGACTTTTATACCCTTTGAAAATCCAATAATTTACATTAAAAAACCTGATATAAATACAATCTTTCTCCCCCAAAATTACTTTTTCTTGCTCTAGTCTCGTAAGCTTTGCAGCAGTCAGCACTGTAAGAATTCATTTTTTTTTTCCTTTTTTTCTAAAATTTGTTCATTTGGAATTCAAAATGTAAGTACTGATTCGTTGTTCATATAAATTAAAGACAGGTAGGCGGAGTAGAGAAACATTGTATCACCTGCACTTCTGGATATTATCATCTTGGCGGAAGATATTTTGAAGGTTTGTGTAAATTATGTTATGTAACCTAACCGACCCTCACTTGTTATTATAGGGCAGATCTTTTCACGGGTTAATCGATTTGTTTCGTTCGTCGATTATTTGCAGTTCCCCACATTAAAAATTTTCCAGTAAAATCACATTTAAAATTTTACATCTTTTATTTCTTACGTTTTTTGTGAAATTAGTAGATGTAATTATTGCTGTAATTATATGTATTTATACGCTTTTAATGTTTTAGGCTTTGAGGGTTGTTATTGAAGGAATATTGATTTTCAACCTGCTGTGTTCGAATCGTCCTCTACTCGTTTAGAAAGGTTAGTACCCTTTTGTTGGACTATCCCGTATTTTTATAGATTTGTACTGTGTGTTACTTGTTTAGGTGCACATGTTAATAGTCTATTTCAATATTTCATCATTTTTTCGAACTTCAATTTAATACCTTCAAAATTTGTTTCCATACATCATCCCTCGCGGTTACAACGTTAGTAGCTTGATCCCACTCCACCCCCGGTAGAGTTAACATCCAACCAAATGTATCGTACCTCATTTCGAGAATGGTTAACTTCTTAAGAAAATATTTTGGAGAGAAGTGTTTGCCATGTTTTTTTTGGATAATGTTTTTTGCCATTCGGATGGAATCTCTCATTTTTTTTCCAACAATGAAATCCCCCAGACGAGCTTGGTAGGACAAAACTTGAATGAAGGTATCATCCACCTTTGCATCCCAATCTAACTCATACATGAAATCACCTTGGGAGAAGATGATGGATTTTTTGGCAGCCATACAATGATATGAGGAGGATGAATGCATAAGCAAATTGTGTATGTTTGTGGCTTGGGAAAGTCATTTGAAGTTCATCTATGTATAGGCAAGAATGGGGTACTGTACTGCATTTTCTTCCCAATAACAATGATGATTTTTATGAAATATGTTACTTTGCGTGGGAATATATCATTTGGCAGCAAAAAAGAATATTGTGGTGCAGAAAAAGCACAATATTCTCTAATAACCACTGTAATTACAGAATGGCTAAACTAGATAATAATATTCATTTGAAATTTGCCAAATTAAAAGAATAATCATAAAAATAAATAATAATTTATTTACTTTCAATAATATAAACATACAATAAGCAAAATACAACTTTTTGTTGTTTTACTACACCATAGATAAACGAGTAGTACATCATAACTAAAAACAAGAAGACCATTACAACTACACAACAATTAATTATACTACAATGTATACAACACCACCAACATGAGGAAAAGTAAGATTAGAGCAAGTGATGCACATATAGTAATCGTTCTGTAGAATTTCGTTTTGCTGGATTCAAGACCCAACTGCAATTTCAACCCTTCAATTCTTTCCTTCGATGCGTAAATAACGCCACTGGAATTTTCACAAAATTCGTCATTAACCCATCTGAATAACTTGCATTTTAAATCCTGTAGGATATTATAATTTTATAAAAAAAAAATTGAGCAATTAAAATTTGGATTTTACTTTTAAATGAACTAGCATTTTCCCCCGTGCGATGCACGGGATAGCATTTCAAATGAAAATGATAATTAGTTTAATACATGATAATTACCATTATAATAAAATTTATTAGTGATATCAAAAACAACATCAACATTTATACGGATTTAATAATATAAACTCATTAAAAAAAACTATAAAATCTTAAATGTCAATCATTAAATAAATGAAGCATATTTTTTATTAGAAAAATAGGTTGGAAAATAAAAATAATAATAATAATTAAAAAAAATATAGATGTAGTTGATTATAATTGTGCTAGCCGAGATTTGGTGTTAAAATAATTAGAAAAAAAATAGCTGCAAAATAGGAGATAAAATAAATATATTCACATAAATTAATTTATTTTTACAAATATCCCATTAGGGTTTCTTAGGTTACCCTAGCGTTTCTTTCTTTTATATATAAGATAACTGATAGAAATAATTAAGGGATAATTAGTGAAAACCCCCCAGCACATTAAGATATATTAGGATGGATCTACACCCTTTTCCAATATTAGTGAGACCCCCCTTAGTTATTTAATTAAATTAATATTAATATAATTATTAAATATTATACCTATATTACCCCTAATTATCAGATCTTATAATCACAAACCCTAGCCATATATTTTATATTCAAAACCGCCGTTCTATCATCCCGATTCACGTTTTCTCTTCTTTATCGATCTGAAATCCACTTCTCTTCTTTCTCAATCTGGGAATCCCGGTAATGGCGGTGGAGGCGGCGG